GCGACTTTCTAGTACAACTTTAACCTGTGGAGCTGGAAGCTGAGAACTGGCCACCTTGTAGTACAAGTGTAGTACGCGGAGTATCTGTGGAGCTGGAAGCTGAGAACTGGCGACTTTGTAGTACAACTCTAGTATACGGAGCAAGCCGTGGAGCTGGAAGCTGAGAACTGGCGACTTTGTAGTACTACTTTAGTACGCGGCTGAGTCATCTCTATTCTGTATTTTGCAAAAATGCATGAACAACGGTTTTTCCTGCGAGACAGTTGACGGTGGTGGCTTCGCTTTCGCTCCATTGGTCGGTTCCAACTTGTTTTGTCAAAGAACATCGCAACTCGGCGAATCAGCCTGCCACATGCCCATTTCCTATAGGTTTATTCTTTTGGAAACTTCCGCCGCCGGCTTGCCCGGGAACTACTTGTACTTATCTTGCGTAAGGGAAATGCTGGAACCGAGCTTCGTATCCCTTCAAGGGATGCTCGGCCACGGAGAAAGAACAATCAAAGGTCCTCTGGCTGCCAACACCACCTCGAAGGTCTTTATTTCAACACCCGTCTTTCATGGACGCTTACTATATACGGCCTACATGAGTGAAGAGGGAACAGTGCCAAAAGGCCTTGTTCGTGCTGAAGACGTTCGCAGGACCTTTGTCCGGAGACCAGTTTTGGGGAGTCCAGTGTGAGAGCTCTCCGGGTTGCCTTTTCTATCAATCAAAACATATTTATTGGTTCCTGCGTGCAGAAACCAGTGGCAATTGCTGCCATGTATTGTGCTGTATTGCCAATGGCGATGGCCAAAGAGGCATTAGCAAACGATCTTGAACCAAATCTCCGAAACAAATGATGAACAACAACATTGACGGGGGGAAGTGATGTGGACAAAACATGGCACTGCCCCAAGCAGCTGGCACGAAGTGTAGCTGCGTACAGTGCGCTCTTCGATGGCACTCCAACTGGTGATCTCTTGAGCCTTGGTGCCAGGAGAGCATGTCGCCTTCACCAGTTGCTTATGGCACCTGCTTCAAAGGGTTTGATGCGTTGACACACTCCATTTTCAGCAAACACCACACCAAATTGACGCGCCTTGCATTCATCCATCCTTTTCATGAGAGCAACATGTTTCCCAGGTCCGGGCCAGGCTCTCATGCAGAAGTGCCAAAACCTCAGATGGCCATCATGTTCCATCTAAGGACACAGATTGACAGAGAAGATTCAAACATCGAAGCTACTGTAGAAACAAGTGCCTCGCTACTAGGAACAAGTGCCTCGCTACTAGTAACAGATGCCTTACTAGTAGTTATTGCACCAGCATAGACCCAGATAGCTAGCACGACCTGTTGACACACGACCGGTTGGAACAAGAATGTACGCAGCCTGCGCAGCCAGCTGACGGCACCTCCACAGCGCGCGCAATCAGCTGACACCAACACCGGCGCTGGATTGCCAGCTGCGGTGCCAGCACGCGACCAGCGCCGCCGTCCGGTTTCAACGCGCACTCGGCCAGCTTACAGCACCAGCGCCCAGGATCACAACACCAGCGCCAGCACCGACACCCTTTCGAAAGCGTGCGCAGCCAGCTCATTTTATTTGCAGCCAGAACCCCATAGCTATCCCTATTTGGAAAATAACAACAAATGATCTTGCGCCTATAAGTTTACGCGCGCAAAAGTATGCGCGCAAACAGCAAAGCCCGTAAGTGTCATTGGCCCAAGGCCAAGCAGTATCCAGCGCCACGCACCAGCACCGGCACCCGGCACCAGCACCAGCAACCTGTCTCCACCACGTGCACAGCCAGCTCACAGCACCAGCGCCAGCACCGGCGCCCGGCACCCAGCACCAGCACCAGCGCGGCACCAGCGCCAGCAACCTGTCTCCACCACCTGCGCAGCCAGCTCACAGCACCAGCACCGGCGCCCGGCACCCAGCACCAGCACCGGCGCCCGGCACCAGCACCAGGAACCTGTTTCCACCACGTGCACAGCCAGCTCACAGCACCAGCACCAGCACCAACAACCTGCCCCCACCACGTGCACCAGCACCGGCACCCGGCGCCTCCACCACGTGCACAGCCAGCTCACAGCACCAGCACCGGCACCCGGCACCCAGCACACGTGCACAGCCAGCTCACAGCACCAGCACCAGCACCGGCACCCAGCACCAGCAACCTGTCTCGAAAGCGCGCGCGGGCAACTCATTGTTATTTGAAGTAAGAACCCCATAGCTTCGCTATCTGGGGAACAAGAAGCCATAAAAAACATATGATGCGTTTATTATAGTATATTACAATATAATGACATATATATTTTTTACATTATATTACAGATTGACAGAGAAGATTCAAGGATCGAAGCGCAACAGAAAGCGATCTTGTCACCTTTAAATCCAACAGCACTTGTTCGCACCTGAATGACCAATCTTGAGATGAACATCGTCCCCTTTGCACTAGCTGTTTTGGTTGGTGATATCCACCTGGACACACATGCACAGCTGGTGCGCAGGAGCTTGCCTTCAAGCTGTAGACTCGAGATCAACTTAGCCAGCCTGCCCCAATCGCTCAAACTAGGTGTGAGTTGCTTCAGGACTTCCAAAGCCCAATATGACCAGCTTTCAGCCCTGCAGATGTCTGCAGTCCTTTGTTCCTAAGGTCCCCCGCGAGCTTCAGGAAAACTCTTGGGCCTGGGACAGAACATCCATGGGTTTAAGAAGAATCGGGACTCATACTGCTGGCAACCCATTCCTTCATGCACAATATGCATGAGTATCCACATGTCTTCACCGTTTGAATGGATCTTTGAGGGGAGAAGAGCTTGAGTATCCACATTTCCTTCACCGGTACAACCTCGACTTCGAGTCCATGGCCCCGCATTGCCACATCCTCCTTGGGTCTCCAGCTCAACCTTGGTGCACATGTCGAAGGCGTTGAAAGCAATTTCATGGCTCAAGTGACCAGATTCGTGTGCAGCCCTGACCTTTTGTCTCCAACTGAAAAACGAATTGTCTTATCTTCCAAACCTTCGAAAACGGGAAGCGACAAGGGATTTTCAGACTTGGAGCCTTCAAGATCCGTTCGCGAGAGTTGAGACTGAGCTCAGAACACAAGCCTTGCCGGGAGCTGCTTCGACCCACCATGAAGGGCCGCAAATACACTGGCCGTGGAAAACGAACTAGATAGCACCCAGCTGGAGAATTGGGTGTAGTCAGGAGAGGCTCTGAAATCCCTTTCCGACTCAGTCTCTTGGGTGAGCAACAAAAACGTGCGCTGAGCTGCAGAACACCCGGACCCAGCCAGTTGCATTTCAAGTTGCAATCTCGGCCGCATCTAAAACGGTTCTTCCTTGACGGACTTGATGTCAACAAAAGCACGCGGTTTGCAAATCATTGCATACAACGCACATGCAAAAGAATGCAATTGTAAAAGGGTGTAACATCCGCACAGATGTACCCTGCGCTTGCCTCAACGGCACATTGATTCATGAGACTAAAACCAATCGTTCTCTGCTTGATTCTAAATCGAGACACCCAACCCAGAAAACAGCCATCCGAATGTACAAACAAAATGCGAACTACCCCACCACCCATCTTTTCGACTGTCGCTACGAAGCATCTCCCATCTTGGGAGATGATCAACTCTCACCTATGTACAGGAAGACCCCACGGTTCGCTCCAAAGCCTTACCACAGCACCCTGCAATAGAAATGGTTCTCTTTCAGGCCTTTTTGTTCATACCTGGATTCAAACATCGCCACACTCAGTATAGGAGTCTGCAGGGTGCCAAAATTCCATAAAGGGGAAAAGGGCAATAAACAGCAATTCTGCTGAAACTGCATTTGAAAGTACTCTGGCACTCATCGAACGAAGAGGTTGATGAAGTCCTGAAAAAATAGATAAATAAAACATGAACAAATGAACAAAATGCTTGCGAGGGACAGCACCTTGACTTGCGTAATCGGTCCAAGCTGCCTATCTCTACTTTCCGGTCTCGGTCTTTGTGTGTGTGTCACAAACTCAAAGACTCAGACATTGCGAAGGTGAAAAACAATGCAATGAGCTGGACAACACCTGGTCAAGAACCATCTCTTGGAAGGTAGCGTGGCGAAGGTGGCAAGTGTACCTGGACTGTTCATGTCTAAGAAGTTTGAAACTGTCCCAAGTTACTTGCAGTGGTTGTTGCCTTGCGTGCAAGTATTGACCCGGTCTGTCCTCACGCTGTCATATTGTTTGACCGAATGGGCACAGAGTGGTTTGATCTAGGTTACAAGGGCCGATGGGGCAAAGGAGTATGACAATCACAAACTAAAAACTAAAGGCATGGACTCCAGAGTTGCCCAATTTGTAGAACAATAGAAGGGCCATGTGCAAGCAGGGCAGAAAATCTTTAGGCGTCTAAGCATCACGGGCTCACCACACTCGCAATCTCCGGACCAAGAAGTCGTTCCTCAAGGAGTCGGCTTGGATCCGGTGGAGTGGCTTTTCTCAAGAAAAAGTCACGTCATCTGCTCTGTTAAGGAAGATGACTACAAAGGCTTTACAAAGGGTGTTATCCATATCTTAAACACAACAGAGCTTCCGATCAGGCCTCCTTGCGTCTTATGAAACCCAACAGTGCCAAAGCATGAAAGCACTGCAGGAAAAAAGGCGGCTCAATTAGCTTAAGTGTTCGCCTTAGCAGTTCAAACATTTAACTGCTGGGAGAGCTTTTCTGGAGCCCCTACCTAACCCCTCCAGCACAAGTTTGAACATAGAGAGTACACAAATACGTCCACTGCAATCCAAAAAGGAGTTATGCTGCAAAGGGGCATGTAAATCACAGCAAGTTGTAGAGTGTCTCATACATCGATCTCGAGCAGCAAAGGTCAGCGGGCCAACCCACCCAGCCCAAAGCCAGGCTAAGCCAGGCCAAGTAACCAAAGAGGTGTCAAATACCCGCTGGACCATTCACCGGCCTCGGTCTTCGGGCAGGCCCTCAAGGCCCTAGCGATGTCGGAGTTTAAGAGGTTGTATGAGGTTGTGGTATACTGAGTAGATGCTTGTTGCAAAGAAGGAGATGAGGCATGAACCAATCTGTAGAAGTACTTCGATCGAGGCCAATATTGTAAGGTGTAACAGTGTAACCATAGCAATTCTAGTCCTAGTCAAAGAGTCAAAAGGAGTGGCAGGCGGCTCAAGTCGCTGGCAACAGTTGGCTATTCCTGCGTGCTTTGTCCATCAGGATCCCACTATTTTCCAGATTTTCAGGATCTGCTCACTGGCCGGCACAGGTCGGCTCCCACCCTTCCTGAATACAAGAGGCGTAAGTTCGTACCATGCACGTGACCAGCACCTGCATTTGTTCATAGCAAGTTTGGCTCAGCGACATCGTCGCCGGATGAAATCCTGTGCTGTGGTGGGGGGCTTTCAAGGTAGTATATACATTGTTCCCCAAACAGTTTACTGTTAGGGGTTTTCAATGTTTTAAAGAATGGTCGCCTTGGTGCTGGATGGTCTGGTCGGGTTCCCGGCCGGCTTGTCTCCCACTTCCTTTCATTTGTCTCCCAGTTCTTTTCATTTGTCTCCCAGGCTGGGTGATTGTCTGTCACTGCTGGTGTCCGCCCTTGTCCGTTGGTCATGCAGCATTTCTATTCATGTGTCTCCCAGGCCTGTCGCTGGTGATGTCCGCCCTTTTCCGCTGGCCATGTAGCATTTCTATTCTTTTGTCTCCCAGGTCTGTCACTGGTGTGTCCTTGTCTATTGGCCACGAAGCATTTC